CCCCCCCCCACACCCTTTTCCCCCCTCCCCTCCCCTCCCAGTCCCTTCTCCCTGCCCCCTCCCGGTCCCTCTCCTTTTCTCGCTGTGTTTACAACCTATTGTGAGATTCATCTCTGCCTTTATAGAAGTGGCCAATGTTTGCCAGACTGCATTCTTATTAAACTGTGCGCTTTACACTGAGCAGTGCCTTCCACTCTTATAGCCAGAGTGTTCTGAACCCAGACGTGCATTATTGTTTGATTATAATGTTTCAAGTGATATTGTTATTCCTGCTGTGGTTGAAAGACCTGTGTTCCGGCAATTCTTTTCTTGCTGCATTTATGAGAAGTGTCCCTGGGCGCAGGGTTTTGTTGATGTTTTGAGTCTGAAATTGTCCTGGGTCTTTGTCTGACAGGCTGTGTGACGCAGTAAGCACCTCTACTCTCCAAGCTAGTTACACTGTCTACACAGGCATCACTGCTGTGGTTGGTAAACAGTACTGGTTCTTTGTGTCTTTTGGTTCTCTTGTTTTGTCCTTACAGCTAATTTAAATGGACCAATGTGCAATTGTCAGGCTCTTTTGTAAACTCCTGCTAGACTCAACCACTGCAAGGCGTAAGGAAGAAGTAGCCAAGCACGGAGTACTAGTACTCAGGGGGTACAGTAGTCCCCCTGACTCATGGTTCCACTTTCTGTGCTTCCGGTTACTTGCAGTCAATCATGGTCCAAAGACAGGAAGTGGAAAATTCCTGAAATAAATAGTGTCTCATTTTTAAATTGGATGCTGTTCTGGGTAGCACGATCCTATCTCACGGCACCCTATTGTGTCCCACCCAGGGTATGAGTCACTCTCTATCTAGGGTATCCATGCTACGTGGTGCCTGATGCGTGACCTCAACCTCAGCACGGGTCCATATGTGTAGGAAAACAGTGTATTGGGTTTGGTACTGTCTGTGGTTTCAGGCATGCCCTGAGGGACTTGGACTGTCTATGGACTGACCTCCGATGGGCTGCTTATTGAGCACACTGTGCTGTGTTTGTGGTAGGTGCTTCATCTGGAAGTTGACTGATTCCATCTTGTTCTCTGGTCAAATGACCAAATGATGGATACTTGGTGAAGCTGGTGGCAGTGTCTGACCTGGACTCTGCCCTAGGTCCCACTCACCCTCTCAGCAAAGCTGGTCCCCGCTCCTGTCTTGCATGTGTCCAGTCTCTCCCCTTTTCTCTGTCCCCAGGTCCATCACCCTGGTGCCCACTACCACCACATTGTGCTTGCATAGTTCATGTAAAAGTTTTAGTCCAGTGTCTGGTGCAATGTGAGAGCTTAATAAGAGGTAGATTTGTAAGCTCTTTTTGGGGAATAACTAAAGAAAGTGTGGTGACATCTATATGAGGTGCCCTCTTATTACTAAAGCCTTTCAGAGACTCCTCACACATAGGTCCAGGTCCAGCCCCTGCCAGTCTCCTCCCACCCTGGCGATGCTGTCCCTTTGGGGATGGCACAGCAGCCATACCAATTCCCTTCATTTCCTAGCCCCATCAAGCCCCTTCTTGTCCATGGCCTAGCTTCTCCTCCTTTTCGTCTTAATACAAATGTCTCTTGGAAAGGCCTTCCCTGTCTACAGGAAGTCCCTTCTTGTTAGTCTCTATGACAGTCTCCCTTTGTTTCTCTTGCAGCATTTCTATGACCCAAAATGATGTTTCTCGCTTTACTGTACATTTACTATTTCTCTTTAAATTCCATGAAGGCTGGGATCATATCTGTCTTTTTCACTACTGTGTGCGGGGCACATGTTTGACACTAGGAAAACATGGTCAATGGATATGGAATGCGTGAATACAAAACTAATCATCATAACCTCATGGATAATAGTGCTGTGGCTGTCATGAGCCAAACTCTGCTTGGACGTGGACCATCAGAGGTCCCCGTGCCTGGCTGCTGATAAACCCCCACAGAGTCTGGCCTGTTACCGGTGTCCCTTGATCTAGGACACAGGCATATGCCTTCTCACCTTGAAAAAAGATGAAGGGCAGAAAGGCTTCCTGCAGCTTCCCCTAGGGCTGGATCATATCCAGTAGCACCCACTTGCTGAGACCTTTGTTTTGAGGTTGGATGGACAAGGCAGGTGGAGTAGGTAAAAAATGACTTTACGACTCCTCATTTATTCAGTACAGATGGGGCTTCCTTCACGGGGATGTTGGTATCAGAGGGGCTCGTGGGTGGAAGAGCAGGGCACATGGGATGGCAAAGAAAGGCCATGTTTCCCATTGTAACGCACATCCTAGGACTGTCTCATGAGGAGAGCTGTGTGCTCAAGTCCTGGAAAGGGCCGGGGGGCAGGCACAGCTTCAGAGGACATGAATGTTGGGTGTTTGGAACTACTCTCTGGGGGATATTTTAGGTGTTCGCTCCAAAAAGGGCAATGGTGCTGGGGAGTGATCTGAACATGAGAGTGAAGGATGAAGGTGAATCCTGTCAGCAGATATATGGGCTCCTTCCCTGCCACTAGCTATTCCAAGATATCTTGGTTGCTGTGTTTTGTTTTCAGTGCCTGTTCTGTTCCCTGCCTGGACCCTGTAGCTGCTGAGCTCAGGCAGAGACAAAAAGGAAAAGCAGGCCTCCTTCTGTTCCTATCTGCTGCATTCACCGGCGAAACAATGGCTTTCACTTTGAGTTACAGTCTCTTCTGTGAATGGTTTATTTTGGCTCAAGGTTCCAGAAATTTCTTGTTTATAGTTGCCTGGTGGGAGCATAAGGCAGAGGAGGTTTGTTCCCCTCGTGGCAGCCCAGAAGCAGAGAGAGAGAGAGGGAGGAAAGGGCTGGGATCCTGAAGCCCCTTCAAGGCCATGCCCCATGACCTCATTTCCTCCCACCAGGCCCTGGCTCCTAAAGGTTCCATCACCTCCCAGTAGCACCACAGTCTGGGGACCACACCTTCAGCACACCAGCCTTTGGGGGATGTTTTAGACCCTAACTACAGCAACCACCCAGAAAATCTACTTTAACAAGTCAATTACTTTGTGCTACACATGTGTCTTTTGACTTCGACTGCATATCCCCATCCTTGCTATAATCTGAGGGGAACCCCATTAGAAGTTCAGGGCCAGGATACTGACAACCAGCATTTATCAAGACCTCCTGTGTGCCAGGAACTGTGCTTACGTGCTTTCTACAACAATCCTGTCACATGAGTAAAACTTATTGGTCTTCTTTTTACAGATGAGCCACAGAGAAATCACATGAGTGGCACAAGCGGCCACACCAGTAATTGAACCCAAGCAGAATGGCTCTTGGACTTGCCATAATCAGCTCCCTGCTCTGTGGTGGTCCTGCCAGGAGCAGTTGCACTAACCCTGGGCTACTGGATACATCACACTCCCTGCTAAGACCCTCAGCTGGTCTCCCAGGCTTCTCAAGCCTCTGCTGGCTGGTTTTGTGCAGTTGGTTCTGTTTGCAGAGGGCTTGGTCCAATCCTTACAGCACTCATCAACCTGCATCACAGACTTGGCCCCCCATATAGTGAGACTGCATTACCATCGTGAGTCATTTCCAAAATAAACGCATCTCTTCTCCCCATCCAGTCCAAACGGCACTTAGGAACGGGGCCCGAGCTTTGTTTTTCTCCAGTGTTCCCAGAGCACCTAGCCTGGTACTTAGAAGTGGTTTTGCATCACTCTGCCTAAGGAGAGGGCAGAATTCTCCCTTCTAAACTGGCAGCCTCCTAATGGTAGATAAAAACCTGCCTTATCATGGCTGGTATGAACAAGTCCTTCTCTCTTTTTAGAACAAACGTGGTTTGCTTTGGCAGCTGGGCAGCAGATGGAAAGCATCCATAGAATCC